TGGGGCAAGCCTGCTGGGCACCAGTGGGGCACACGGATTTTGGCTAAAAGTAGAGTCCCTAGCCAACCCCATGAGTGGCAGCGGCTCTTGGGGTGCTGCACTCTTGCACCTGGGCTTCGGGTGTCTCTCCCAGTGAGGGGCCAGTAGTGGCTCTTCCTGGGCCAAGGTCTTCTCCTGACGTCTGGTGCTCCCACCACCCTGGGGGCCAAACACAGGGAGGGGCCAGAGGGTACTCTGTCCATCCAGTTGGAGGCCAAGTCCTTGCACAAAGACCTGGCCAAGTCTCTCTCCAGGTAACCTCCTGGCCCCCGCTGGACACTGGGGCTGCTGGACCCAAGCCCTCCAGCTCCCCCAGGCCTTGCCCTCCCTGCGTGTGCGTGGCAAGAAGGCTGACAGCACTGCTGGCTGCCCCTCCCAGCTTTCTGGGGCCACTCCACTTGTATGGCGCTATCCATCCCTGGTGCCTTGCCCTGACCGCCTCTCTCCTTCCTCCAGTGTCCTGGTTCTGCAGAGATGGGGAAGGGAGGGGTCTTGGGAGCAAGATGGGGAAGAGAGGGGCCTGGGGAGTAGCTGGGCTGGAGCAAGATGGGGAAGGGAGGGGCCCGGGGAGTAGCTGGGCTGAATCAGGAGAAGTACCTCATCTGGGCCTTAGGCCCTGTTGAGAACGTAATGTGAACTCAGGAACACGTTTTATCAGGCACATGACAGGAAAGTCCAGGGACTCGGGCCACCCCCTGCCATGAACCCAGGCCCATCTGGGACTCTGTCTCCAGGCCAGTCCTCCTCTGAGCTCCCGGCCCGTCAGTCCACCCCTAGCAGGCGCCACAGCAGAAAGAGCCCACCTTGCTCGCTCCTGACCTCTGCATAAAGGTGCCTCCGCCCGCATCATCCTGCCCCCACCCCACCCTCCTCCCTGCTCACACGTGGTCCCGCCATCCACACCGTCCAGGGGCCCATGTTGCTTATCTGGGCTCCCCAATCCCTTCCACCCTGGCCCAGCAGCCTCCAGTCTGACCACCCAGAGGGGCACGGGGGAACCTCAAAAGAGAGGAAGGACCTGAAGGTTAGGAGGGTGGGACCCCGAGCAGCGCAGGCCCACCCACAGGGTCCAGGCCAGAGGGGGCCCATCACCTCAGTTCCTCTGGGGGCCCTGCGTCTCCTCTTGTAAGTGCCAAGACCCTTTTCTTATAACAAAACATCAGTGCTACCCCTTCCCCGTGCAGCACCCAGCTCATCAATACAGCCTATGACACGCAGCCCGAGCACACGTGTGCGTGGCAAGAAGGCAGACACACAGCTGTCCATCATGAATGTGCAGAGGAGGCCCCACTGCTCAGGAGAGGGGTGTCACTCTGGTTTGTCACTGCTGCTCAATGGGCTTCTCACTGATGGGGAATGGGGACTGCGCCCTGCACACCGCCACCTCTGCGCTGCCTAGCACCAGGTCCAGCACATAGTAGGTGCTCAATAAATGTCTGGTGGACAGATGGATGAATGACTGAATGATGAGTCAATCCCAGGTGAGATGTGTTGATGATGTCACAGGTGGGATGAGGTTGTGACCGGCCCCCAGGAGCCCAAGGAGGACCCTGGTGGGCGGCGGCGGGATGCACGTGTGCTTGCTCTCGCCAGCGTCTCTGCCTCTCCGGCTCCCTGCACGCTTCTCCAGGCAGGGGCTGCTCTCGTCTCCTCAGTCTCCCCCTTGGCGCCCCGCACAGCGTCTGGCACAGAGTGGGTGCTCAATAAATACCCGTTGAATGTAACGCATCTCAATTCAACAAACATTTATTGAGCGCCCACTGTGTTGTATGTCGCAGGCCTACCCTCCTTGGACGCGCTGCAGGTGAAAGCGACCGGGGTGCAGGCGGGCGGCCCTGCTCTGTGCAAACGCTTTGCTTAGTAACAGTGGTTTGCCAGTGGAACTGGTGTCGATGAACTCACATTTGGGGGCTCAAAGGAACCCTGAGAAGAGGTGGAGACCCCTCTGTGCGTGCTGCCCATCTGCCCACATTTCTCCAGAGGATGGCGGGGAGCAAGGCACGCCTGGTCCAGGCGGCCAGCAGCCGGGCCCTCGTCACTACCTTCCTGCACGTGGGAGGCAAGGCAGAGTCACCAGGACAGAGGTCAAGTCACAGCTGCAAAGGCTGGTACCGTGGCCTCCACTCAGAGCACAGGACGTCAGAGTGCCAGCCGGAGGCGAGCGGATGACAGAGTCATGTCACTGTCACCATAAGCGAGCATCAGTGTGGCGGGTGGACACACTCACACACACACACACACACACACACACACACACACTCACACACACTCACACACTCACTCACACACACATACACACACACACACACACACACTCACACACACTCACTCACACACACACTCACACACACACTCATACACTCACATATACACTCACACTCACACACAGACTCACACACACGCACACACATACACACGCACACACACACTCGCACACACTTACACACTCATGCACACTCTCACACACTCAGAAACACTCGCACACACACACACACTCACACACACTCCCATACACACTCACTCACACACACACTCACACACACACTCATACACTCACATATACACTCACACTCACACACACACTCACACACACGCACACACACACACACACACACACACTCGCACATCGTGCATTCTCTGGAGGAAGCGCCCCACTTAGGCCATTGGCTCCGGCATAGGCAGTCGGCTCCTGCGGGCCAGGGCACCTGCATGGGAAGCGGCCGCATTCCCACCTGTGTCTGCACGTGCAGGTGTGACGAGGTGGCAAGGGGCGGAGGGGACAGACAAGCCCTGCAGGTGTGTGACAGGCCACTCAAAACAGCTGGCACAGCCTCGGGCCTCGCGGGGCCCACCACCTGTGGGACACGGCGAACAGCCCTGCCCCTCGCTGTGGCACGCACAGATGGGGAAGAAGAGCCAGTGGCGGGGAAGCAAGCCCCTGCCACCCTGACCCACCCCTCCTCCCTGTTCGCACGCAGGCCTGCCATTCAGGCGGCCCAGGGGCAGGGAAGCAAGCCAGTGCCACCCTGACCCGCCCCTCCTCCCCCTGCTCGCAGGCAGGATCTGGGCTCCTCAATCTGTTCACCCTGGCCCGGCAGCCTCCGCTGACCACCAGGGGGCACGTGGGAACCTCACAAGAGAGGAAGGACCTGAAGGTTAGGACGGTGGGACCCTGAGCAGCGCAGGCCCACCCACAGGGCCCAGCGACACAGGAAGGTGTCCTCCCCCCCAGCCCGAGCCACAGGCATAAGAGGGAACCCCTGGGGGAAGCAGCTGGCCTCCCGCGAGGAGAGTGGGGGGTGGGCATGCCAGCAGCCTCGCAGAGGAGGGCCCCTATCACCCAGCCAGGGGAGGGCTGGAGCCAAGAAGACCGCCCACACCCCCAGTTTCCTGCGGGCTCTGGACCCGGGGCTGGTGCCACGCTGCCCCCAGGGCAGGGGCTGCCATGGGGCTACTGAGCGGGGGCGGCAGGGGCTCCCCACCTTCCCGACACAACTGTCAGGAAAATGCTCGAAGCAGAAAGGCCCACTGTCTACGCCAACGGCCCAGGGCCTGTGTGCAAGTCCTGCACCCTTGCAGCCCTGGGTGCCAGGAGCAGGGAGGGAGTCTGCCTGTGGCTCTCCTGTGACCAGCCCTGCACCCCCCGACCTGCCTGCTGGGGGGACGGGCAGCTGCCGTACCCCTTCCAGACCTGCTCCAGGACAAGCACGCCGCCTCCCGGGACAAGTCTCTCTGGGGACATTTGGGGGTGACCTGCCCGTGGTGACATCAGCCCTGTGCACCGGCTGCACCCCAGGAGGTGGGGGTGCTAAGACTCCTGCTTACAAATCCACACAAAACAATGACCCTTCTTTCGTTTGAGTTTTTCTTTAGCAACGATAATGTCCAAGCCCCTCCCGCTCTCCCACGGATCACTCTCCAGCATGAGGATGAGGGCGAGGATGAGACGGTCTGTTTGCTGAGCACCTACTATGCGCCCGGCTGTGCACACATAGCACCTCCTTCAGGGCTCAAACACCAGCCAGGCACACAATGGGACTGACGCCCAGCGACAGGCGAAATGCCACACCACGAGGCTGGTCATGGTGAGTGGGGACTTGAACCCAGGACTGTCTCAGGCAAAGCCGGCATCTTTCTTCCGTGTTCTCGCGCCCACACCTGTCCCTGCTCGGCCTCTGCTCCCCGCTAAGCCTCGAGCTGGCCCTGGGACCCGGAGACCACGCCGGGTCCCCCGAGAGCCCGGCTCTACGGCACACAGCCCCTGGGAGCGAGGCCCCTCGGGAGGGTCCTGCCTCTGCAGATGGCTCCTACTCAGGCTTTGTGCCGTCACCTTGCCGCCCGCACTCCCTGGGGACCCCAAGTCCCGGCTCCCGGTCCCTGGCTCAGGACAAGCGTGGGTCTGGGACAGGCCGCATCCACTCCGAGTCTGGCCCCGCTGCCCGGACCGTGCGTGTCTGCTCCGGAGGGAAATGGCCCCGAGTCCAGCCTGGAGCCCGGGGCCTTCCCTGCGCGGCTCTCTACCCGCTTGTGGCTCCGGCTTCGAGGGAAGGGCAAGCACGAAGGGCCTGTGGGTTTGCACCTGCGCTTTTCTAAGGAGCACGGCTTCGACCTGGGGGAGCGGCCTGTGGTGCGGGGGCCCCTCTGCCGCGAGGTGTTTCGGGCCACAGGATGGCACCTCGCTCAGAAGAACCACTCACGTGAGTAAAAGCCGTCTCCCGGGCCCGTCTGGAGAGGGTCTCTGTCGACCCCGCTGCTGAGGGACAGAGACTGGCTGTCTCGGTCGGGCGAGTTGGTCCTCGTGTCTGCGTTCCCCTGGAGAATCAGCCAGCTGCCCTTCTGCTGGGAAACACAAGGGCGCGTGACCTCCAGGTCATCTGCGATGGCACCGCCCGCGTCACAGATGGGGAAACTGAGGCCCAGGGCGGTCCAGGGCCCAAGTGGCTTCACGCGGGGGAGCCGGCCTGGGGCTCTTTCCACACACACCTCCCTCCTGAAGGACAAGGGGCTGCAGCTCCCGGGGCAGGAAGGCCCTGCCCGCAGGCCGCTGGCGATGAAAGCGCGTGGGGACACAGCCCTCCCCTGCCCCCTCGCCCCTCCTCATGCATCGCCTCGGGCTGGCGTGGCCCCCAAGCCCAAGGTGTCTCCTCTGGCCTCTTACTGAAAACACCTGCCACGCCCATTCTAGAACAATCCTCTCCGGTGCCCGAGAGCGCCCTGTGGCTCACTCTCCTCTCGTTTCAGACACCGGCCAGTCACAGAGCCGTAAGCAGGCCGCCTGGGCACAGGATGGGACCCGGGAGGGGCTGGGCCGGCCCGTAGGTCAGAGGAGGCAGCAGGGAGGAGCCCACCGGCTCTGGGATTTGGTGCCTGTTTCACGGGCGCGAGGGACCCCTCAGGAGCATCGAAGGGGAGGAGCCGAGGCTGCAGGCTGGAGGCACCCACAGGCCCGAGCTCTCCTGCACAAGCCGCTGGGACCAGGCGCCGCATTACCTTCCTGCCGTCCTGGTCGGAACCCCCGTCCTCCCCGTCCAGGCGCCGCGAAGCTGGAAGGGAAAGCCGTCCGTCAGGACACGCCGTTTATTCTGGCTCCCGCGCCCCAGTTAGGCTCAAACATTGGAAATAATCATGCCCGGCCGGCGTGGCTCAGGGGTTGAGCAGCGACCTATGAACCAGGAGGTCAGGGTTCGATTCCCGGTCAGGGCACATGCCCAGGGCTGTGTCCCCATAAGCTTTCACATGCTCGATCCCCCAATGGTTCTTTCTCATCGTCGATGTTTCTGTCTCTCTCCTTCTCCCTTCCTCTCTGAAATCAGTAAAAATGTATTTTTTAAAATGGGAAATAAAGACGAGGCCCCAGTGGGCGCCTCTAGAGGGCAGAGGCGCCAGCGAACTGGAGGGGCTGGGCAGGAGCGCTGGGCGGCCGTGTGCCCGTGCACCCCAGGCCTTAACACCCAGGGCAGGCGGGTGAAGTGACACCTCATTAAAATCCAGCCGAGCCCCCGGGGTGCAGCGACAGGGCATTGTGAAGAACACTTCCTCCTACCGGGGTTTAACTTCAAGGTAAGGGGGTCTCAGCCGTCCAGCCCGCCCTGTGCCCACTCAGCCGGGTGCCCCACGGGCATCGCTGCCTGTCACCACACAACCCACTTCACAGACCGGAGGACTGAGGCTCAGAGCGATGTCCCGCCTTCCTCAAGGTCGTGGGTCAGCGGGTAGCAGAGGCTGCCCTTTGAACCCAGGTGGCCTGACTCCTGGTCCTTCCTCTGACCGCCCCCCCTCACCGGGGGCCGCCCCCAAATCACTGGAAACAGTCCGCGAAGGGCAACGACAAGGTAGAAGGTATACCCAGGGGGGACCACGTGGTGTGGAGCCGTCACGGCCGTGTCCTCCCCGGCCCCAGAGCGGGTGCCCCCAGCTGGGTGGCGTGCTCTCCTACCAAGTCTGACTGGGAAGGCAGCGCCCACTTCAGTCCATACAGACCCACCCCGAGCGCCCGAACTGACATGCCGACCCCACGCACGGAGCAACGAAAGGAGGACCCTGGGCCTCCCATCCGCCAGAGACCGCGTGGCAAGGACGCGAGGGGGCTCTTGCCTGCCGCCTGAGGAGGGCCCCGGCCTGGTCGCTTGTTGGGGCGCCATGCCCCGCGCACCATCAAGGACAAGGCTGACACCAGGCCCGAGAGCTGGGAGCCTGGGGACTGGCCTCCAGGACCTCAACGAGGCAAGGCCACAGCTGAGGCCCGTCCGGCCTCGCCAACACTTCCTCCCTCCCCCGCCGCCTCCTCTCCTTCAGGGAGAGACGCATTCCACCATGAAAATCCAAAGCCCGCCTCCCCCTCTCAGAGGCAGGTTAACGAGGAGCCTGCGCAGGGAGCAGGGTGATGGGGGAGGAGGGGGCAGGGCCAGGGGGGCGCGTGCCCATGCTGGGTCTCCTGTTGCCCAGACAACCGCCCTGGGGAGGGGAATCTGGAGCGTCTGCCATCCATCGGCGGGCTCGTGGCGGCTGCCAGCAGGACCACTAGGCCAGTGGCGATTTGAGGGCGGAGACACTGCCCCCGTCCAGCCCGCAGAGGCCCCGATGGACCGACTCGGGGGCCATTTGCAAGCGCAGAAAAACCGAGGCCCTTTGCTATGTGGAATCCGGAGTTGAGGCCAGGGCCATGGGCCACCCTGGGTCCGAGGGCTTCCCACAGCCGAGGACAGCAGCTGGTGCCGGACTTCCCGACGCAGGGTTCACGGACAGCCCCATGGTCTGGAAGGAGCATCTGCCAAGATTTACACGTTCCCTCTGCAACACGCCAGCTCCTGGCCAACCACAGCCTTCGCAGGGCCCGTCTGCAGCCGCACAGCCCACGCCAGGCCCCGGAGAAAGGGGGCCTGGGCAGGAGACATGGGACCTCCCGGCACTTGGCACTGTTTGCGGCTGCTCCCTACAGCTCCGAGCCTCAGTTTCCTGATCTGTAAAGTGGGCGGATGACGTCCACTCCTCCGAGCTGTGAGGACGCCAACGTGCACGCTGTGGCCTGGGGGGAGTTCAGGTCTGAAGACCTGGGAATAGTCAAGAGGCCGACGTTGGGGCGGATTTTCGGCTGCTGTTTCAGTGTCAGGAGGGGACCAGCCCCCGAAGGACAGGGGGGATGCCTTTCCTGCCGCACCCGGCGGCTCCTCGGAGCCTGGAAGGCATTTGCCGCGGGAAAGGCTGACGACCCCTGGGTGTCCCCGGGAACCTGTGTTGGCGGCACCCCATGACCGTGGGGTTTCTAACTTCCTTCCTGGATGTGGAGCCTGCCTTCCCCTTTTCCATCCCAAGAGGACCCCCAAACCACGAGACTCAACCCCACCGCCCAGGAGCCCTAAAGGCACATGAGACATGACTCATTCCTGCTGTAAAGCAGGGGCCACAGAAACAGCCATGACGTGGGGCCCTCTTTGCTGTCTGGTATTGGGGAGGCTCTGAGAGGCGGGAGGGCCATTCCCACCCCCCGTTACTGGGCAGCTGGCGGTGATGAGACAATGCCCACCTCCTGGGAAACCGGGGAGGTGTCCTTCTACCTCCTACAATTTTAGAGAGAGAGGAGGGAGAGGAAGGGAGAGAGAAACATCGATCGGCTGCCTCCTGTGCACCCCCTACTGGGGATCAAGCCCACAACCCAGGCATGTGCCCCGACTGGGAATCAACCAGGTGACCTTTCAGTGCACAGGACAATACCCTACCCACTGGGCAACACTGGCCAGGGCCTCTTGTATCACTTTAAACCAGTGGTTCTCAACCTTCTGGCCCTTTAACTCAGTTCCTCATGTTGTGACCCAACCATAAAATTATTTTCGCTGCTACTTCATAACTGTAATGTTGCTACTGTTATGAATCGTCATGTAAATATCTGATATGCAGGATGGTCTTAGGCGACCCCTGTGAAAGGGTCGTTCGACCCCCAAAGGGGTCGCGACCCACAGGTTGAGAACCGCTGCTTTAAACCATCTAAACACTGGGCCCCGCTTCACGCCCCTGAGGGGCTGGACCACCAAGCCCTGCTCTCTGCTAAGGTTCAGCGCAGCCTCACTTAAACCTCCTCGAGGCTGGAGAGCGAGGGAGGTGGCCATGAACCCCCGTCCAGAGGAGGGGCCTCTGAGGGGTGTGGGCTCCGGTGACGGGGCTGTGCTCTGCATCGAGGCCGCCCCACAATGTGCCTGCGAGGGGTTGGCGTTCAGGGAAACATCAGGAATGTCCCGCGGGGCGCCCGAGCTCTGAGCTCTGGGCGTGTACGCCCCGCTGGGTGGCCTGACTGCGCCGCCCCCGGCCTCTCCTACGGCCGCCCCTGCTTCCCGCACAGGGGCGGGGGCTCCCCTTTCAAAATGCCCCAGTCATTTCCTTTTGCTTCCTTTCTTCTCTTTCTTATTCTTTTACTTTAAAAAAGCCATTAAATCGTAGCCAAGTAGAGTTGGAACTGCTGTAGTTACAAGAAAATACTGCGGGGCCTCCATGCTGTCAAAGGCAGCCTAGAGGGCCAGGGGTCAGAGGTCAGGGGGCAGGCAGACTGGGTGTGGACCTCAGCTTGGCCACTGACTGGTCACTGCACCACCTGACCTCAGAGTGAGGAGGAAACGAGCTGCGTGTCGAGCGCGCACGTGCCCTGACCGTCCAGCGGCAGCCTCGTGAGGGCTGGTCCTCCCGTCCCCACCTTCGTCCCCCCCCCAACAGGCCTGGCCGCCCGCTGGCTGGAGGAGGAAGGCCAGAGCGCCGGGAGAGGGTGATGCCGAGTTAAGAAAAGCTTGGCATGAGATGGGACTGGAGAGCTGAAAAGCAATGACGTGGATGAGAAAGCCTAAACCTGGAGCTCGCCGAGTGTATTATGTGAGATGAACTCAATGGCCCGCCCCACAGCGTCGTCACCGCAGTTTGTTTCAGGAGTTCGAGGGCTTCCCCAGCTGGAGTCGCACTCCTCCGTCCCCCAGAGGCGGCTGGCTGGTCCGTTTGCTGAGACTGGGGGGGAGGGGTGACATGCCCACATGCATGGAGTCACACGCATGCTTGCATGCTCACACACACGCCCGACAGGGCACATGCCGACGGGGTGGGGAAGCCGTGTCACATTCAAACACCTGCCACGGTTGGCACTCAACGGCGTGCCACCGCCCCGCCGGGCACGGGCTCAGCCGGCACGGGCTCAGCCGGGCACACGGGTAAGGCCAGTCCGCAGCAACCACATGCGGACCCTATGTATGTCCGAGTAGGCACTGTACACCATTTAGTTCACGAAGGAGTCAGCAAGCCCCAATCTGGAACGCGCCGAGGAATCCGGCCATTGCTCAGGGTTCGGGCAAATGGGAGTTCACGTGCCATTGGAGGGGAGAGGCATTGATTTCCGGGTGAACAGTGACCCCAGAGGATCCCTGCTGGCCGCCCCCGCTGACCTCCCCGGCATAGCTCTGTCTCAGGTCTGGGGGGGCCACAGGCCACCCAGCCACGTCGTGACCTCACCGACTGCCTCTCCCCTCCACACTGTGCGAAGGACGCCTCTGCGGCTAACACGGGCCAGGCGAGCACCCCGCTTGCGTGCAGGACGAGGCCTCGGGCGGCGTGACGGAGGCTGGCGCGTCCTTCAGCTGGGCCTCAGTTTCCCCGCTCATACCCCTGGGAGCCCGTCCCTCTCTGACCCTCGGGAAGATCTGGGCTCTAAGCACCCTGGCTGGAGGGAGCGGGAAAGGCCATCCGTCGCCCTGGAAACCAGGCTTTTCACTTTCTCTTCCTGTCTTGGGAAGAGGCCGAGACCCCCCAGCACAGGCGCCTTCGTCGAGGACAGCAAGCCGTCTGAGTCTGCACCGGCCCCTGACCTGCCAGCGAGCACCGAGCACACGTGTGCCATCCCCCCGGGAGCACCCAGCCAGGGGTCCGTGTGGACCTGCTGTTTTCCGGCTGCATCTGAGCAAGACCCTCAGGTGTGGGGATTCCTCTGCCCGTCTCCTAGCAACGTGGTAACACCCACACCCCACGGCGTCCTCACCGGCGGCCCGTGGAGGGCAGGGTGGAGGGGCCCGTCCCATTTTGCAGATGAGGAAACCGGCTCACGGAGGTGATGCCCCAAATCACCCAGAAATTCGTGCAGACGGGGACACCGTGAGCCTCCGGCCTCCTGCCTCTTGCGCCATGGCTCGGCCACCGCTCCCTGCGCACCTGCCCCGCAGGCTCAGGTGGAGCGGGCCTGGGTGACCACCCTGAGGAGGCTGGGGGCCCAAGCCCCTCTCTCCACTCAGCATCTCAGCCCCGATCTGCTGATGCAAGCAGTCCCTCACTGGAGGCTCGGCGTTTATCCTCTGGCCAGCGATTCCCACCACTCAGGGCCTCATTCCCACGCGGGGATGACCGACTGACTCGGTTTGTCCTGTTTCCCGCAGACGGGCTGGCTCGGCTGTGACCCAGACACCTGTCCCTCCCCCCTCAGCTGCGGTCAGCCTGGCTGCTTCTCTCCAAGCAGCAAACTCCAGCCACCTGCCCACCCACCCAGCCCGGCACAACGCCCCCCAGCCCGGCACAACGCCCCCCAGCCCGGCACAACGCCCCCCAGCCCGGCCGTGAGCGTCAGCCTCGGGTTTCTGCCACACAGGGGCCCTGATCAGACCCGCCTTCCTCGGGCTCCATGCGGAGGCCCTGCCCTGGGCCTGAGCGAATGTGCACTTAATATTCAGGCTCAGGGCCGCTGCAGGGGGGCATCAGGCATCAACACAACCGAGCGAGGGCTCCGTGCAGGGGGCAGGCATGCGGGGGCACGCAGCGAGGGGCACGGTACCGTGCTGCTTGTAGATGGGGGGCTTCCTGTAGATGTTATCTTTGACGCCAGTGTCTGGGAAGAAGACAGACAGAAAGGAGAGAGAGCAGGTCAGCAAGCGAGCGGATGGCCGGTCAGCGCTCCCCAGGCACCCGGATCCGGGGTCTCCAGAAAGATCCGGGACCTGCCCTGGGCGGACACCGGGTCCCACCGCCTCAGCCCAAGCCTCAGCCAGGACCGGTGCCAGCCCCGGGGGGAGGGGCAGGGGCGCCCCGCAGGCACAGTGTCTCCCTGGTGCTTGTGGGCCTTTGGAGACAGGAAGTGGGGGGATGTGCTGATTTTTTAAGCATCTTAGGACTGGGGGGCCTAGGGGGGCTGGGGGAACCGAGAGGAACCCCCCACACACCTGCTGGGCGAGACGGGCCGCAGCGGTGCCTACCTGGGACGTGGAAGTGGCGCGGAGCCTGCTGGTAGGTGGCGGGCGGCCTGCTGTCGGACAGCACCGAGAGGCTGGGGGTGCTGCGGCCGCTTTCACTGCCTCCAGGCCGAAGCGCAGACAGCGGAGAGCAGGGGGAGCAGAGCAGAGCATTTCAAGCGAGAAATCTTATTGGGTGACCCCGTCTCCCTGCCTGTGGGCCCCCAGCCCCTGCCCCGCATTTCCACACGGGCCCACGACTTGTTAATCCAACCTCGCGCCCACCCTCCCCCGGGCCCCGTGGCGAAGGCACAGCGGCTCCGAGGGCCGAGCGCCATGGCTCCTGGTGCCCGGAAGGGTGGCCTGGCCGCCTCGGCAGAGCCTGCTCCCCTTGGGGGGCACGGCAGTCTCCTTGGGGAGCACGCGGTCTGCGGCTCTGGGCGCTGGTATTGGCATCGGCCCAGGCCCCTTCCTATCTGTATGAAACGGTGCTGCCCTCTTTGGAGAGGCCACATGGGCATCCACACGGGTTCTAGCGCTCGCCCTCATCACGTCTGTGCGCGAAGCCGCGGTGGAAATCCACTAGCTACAGGGGAGCGAGACCGTGTGGGCATCAGCAGCTACCACTCCACCACTGCCCCCCTCCCCCCGCCCCAGGTAAGCATGTGGCAAATTAAAGGGAAAGACCCCTGTGGGCTCCAGTTCCTCACTCCACCCGGATGTGCCACTGCTATTTGGCGAACAAGGTTGGATTATCAAGTCACAGCGTGGACGGCCCTGGTCCCCAGGCGAGGCCCCCTCCCACCCATGTTTAAGGAACAATGTGACAGACAGAACGCAATGGCATGGGACCTGGGAGGACCAGTGAGGCGCGGCGCCTCCCCTCCCGTGGCCTCAGGGAACCCCGCTCGCTCGGTGACAGCTCGGCCAAGGGCAGGGCCACTCGCAACCCCAAACACCCCGTGGAGCTGCAGCTGCTCACACCGCAGGGCCCGGGGTGATGAGGCCTCATTGAACAGCGGGTGGCCCTGTGCTGCTGGGGAGGCGCCGGCTCAGAGAGCTCTCGCCTGGGTGGGTGGGCAGGGCCCGGGGCTCACAGGGTGGGTGGAGCTCGGCTCCAGCAGCCACACCAGGGCCCCCACCAGGCCAAGGCCACAGAGGGGCTGCGGGTCACTTCAAGCATCTTCCTGTGCCTGGGCCCCAGTGTCACCTGTCAGCCTTGATAGGACATCAGGGAGACAGCTGTCCAGCCCCTCCTGGGGGGAGCCCTGCCTGCCCCCGGCGGCCGTACCCCAGCGCCGTGTGGAGCCGCCCTGAGCTTCCTGCCTGCGCACCACCCCAGGGAGCAAGGGCTCCCAGGCCACCCTACAAGTGTGGCTGCGACTCAACTGCACCAAGCCCACCCGCTCGGATGCCAGAACAGTGAGCGCGGCTCACCCGGTGCCATCCCCGAGTGGCGGGCTCCTGGCAGGGCCTCTGAACCGGGAGGCCTCACAGGGCTCGTTTCCTCTGCCTCGAACCCATGGCCTCACCCCCCATCCCGCCCAGGCCACAGCCTCACAGGTCACAGGCCTCCTGACCCCAGCGCCCCAGCCCGTGTGCAGCGTCCTCCCAGGATCTGTGTGTACATTTCTCTAAGGAGTCCCCAGCCTCCACCCGGCGCTCAGGGGGCCCGGGCCCAGGGGCAGCTGGGACACAGCCACGGAGGCCCCGGGCCCACCCCCTCACCTCCGCCATCAGGGCTTCCACATCAGCCACCACCCCTCGAGACCTCGGTCCCAGCCCGACGCCTCTCTGCTCACACCCTTCCCTCCTGGTTTTCCCTCGCCTCCCCCTCAGGCCCGCCTGGAACCCCCTTTCCAATCCTCCCCACTTGTCCAGATGCTTCCTGGTCAGGCTCAGGGGCACCGCCTCCCTTCGCCGCCTGCTCACTGTGAGGTCCACGGTAATAAAACGCGCCACTAGCATCGGCCCCGCGCGAGGCCACGTGCACGCTGGGCCACGTCAGCTGTCGGAACATCCCGACGGCCTGCGGGGCGCGCACCCCTGTGGCCACCTCCTCGGGAGGGACAGGGCTGAGGGGCCCGGGAGGCTCCGGTTACGGCTCCGGGACCCGCTTCCTCCGGGGCCTTGGCGGTAAATCCCAAGCTGACGTCACCGTGGAAGGAGGGAACCAGAGGAGCCGCTGTGCTGCCGAGGAAAAGGCACAGAGCTCCCTCCTGGCGAGGCTCGTGGCTCCCAAGGGAGGTGGCCCGGGACCGAGGCGGCTCCGACATCTGCGGAGGCTCATCCTTCAGCGAGAGGGAAAAGGCGCCAGACGGGGTGAGGGTGGGGGGCGGGGGGCGGTGTTTGCTAGCGATGGGGAGCCCTGGCCGTTGAAAAGTCGCCTTCTTTTACTTCAAGCAAAGGGCTCACTTCACGGGCATCGCGGCAACGGGGTTCCGCAAATGCCACATTGACGTGGGCCTCACCCGTTTTTATCTGAAGATCTTTCCTGGCCCAGGATCCCCGGACACACGTCCTGTCCAGCTGTCCCTCTCCTGGGCCCTCTGGACCTCGGCACGTTCTCAGATTCTCCTTGTCCTTCACGACTGGCTCTGTGTGGGCCAGGGGCTCTGCCAAAGGCCCCGCGGGGGGGACCCATCTGATGATTTCCTCAGACTAGACGGAGGGCATGGTTCTTGGGAGGAAGGCCACAGAGGTGCCCTCTCACCCCATCGGGTCCAGGGCACCTGCTGTCACATGACCCATCACGTGATGCTGACCCGGGCCCCTGGCCGAAGTCAGGGTGGTGCCAGGTTTCTCCACCGGACAGTTCCTCTCCTCGCCCTGCCACACCGTCCCCCGAGGGACCCGTCACAAAATGCACCATTTCCAGCTTGGCCGCTTTTCAAGAGTCAGTGGGTCCAGTAGGGACCGTGGTGGCAGGACAGGTGCTCCAGAAGGACGTGGTCCCCAGGACCAGGGGCTCTCTTCCCAGCAGACCCGATGAGGCCACAGGAAGCCAGTGATGGTGACGATATAAGAGAAGCAAGGAGCCCGTCTGGTGACCATCATGTGACAGCGTAAACCAGCAGAGCCTGCCTCTTCCTGGTCCCCTCAGGACAGAAGGCAGGACAGCACGGCTGCTTCTGGTCCTGCTGAGTCTTTGTGGTGTATGAGTCAGCTAGGGCTGCGTAACAAACACCATGGACGGAGGGGCTCAGATAACAGATTTCCTCCTCCCAGTTCTGGAGGCTGGAAGTCAGCAGCAGGCTTGGTTTCTGGTGTGAGCTCCCCTCCTGGCTTGTCGACAGTCCCTGTCTCCACGTGGCTGCTCCTCTGAGCGCCCACAGAGTGGCTGAGAGATCTTGTGGTCTTTCCTCTGCCTATAAGACCACCAATCCCACGGGTTTGGGGCCCCACCTGTAAGCCCTCGTGTGACCCTAATAACCTCCTAAAGACCCTTCTCTGAAGGCAGTCACATGGGGGGTTAGGGCTTCAACATATGGATTCTGGGGGGACACAATTCAGTCCATAGCATGTGGGCGAAGAAGAGCTGGGCCATGTTCCCAGTGGGGCGGACACATGCTTCCGTGCAGGGTCTGGCCCTGGGAAGAGGCAGGAGTGGGAGCCATGCAGGGTGTGCGTCCGCCCCAGGCCACCCTGCGCTCTGAGTGTGGACACGTTCCTGCCCCCTTCAGCCTCAGCCTTTGGGCCTGGTCCCCGCCACTGGCATCCCTTCGCCCGTGGAGTGACAGGTGGGGACAGAATGAGATGATGTAGGTCCGAGGGCAGCGGTGGAGAGGCCCTAACCTCTGCCTGCAGCTCTCCACCCCTCTCCTCACCTCTCTGTTCATCCTTCACACCACGAGGTGCCTACACTCCCCCCAGGAACATTCACACACGAACAGAAACGGAGCTGGACTCACGAGACACAGCGAGGAGCACAGGCATGAGACACGGGGCTCGGGAAGCCATGCGGCGACACGGACACGACACACACGTGTGGCAAGCGCCCTGGGGCGCCCGCAGCCCGCAGCACTGCGCGCCTTACCTCGGAAGTAGGGGATGTAATGGTGCCTGAACACGGACGTAGGGCTTGGGTGTTGGGACAGGGACAGGCAGCTACTGGTACCAACACTCACAGTACCAGCTGCAGGGCAACAGAGAGCAAGTCAGTCCGCCCGGCCGGGGCCGCAGAGCCGCACCAGCCCTAGGCCCACCTGCCAGGAACACGCTGGCTTCCTCTCGCCAAGGAGGCAGACCTCGGGGAGGGGCGTCGCCAGAGGCGCCCTCCACCAGTCCGCTCTGGGCTGGAGTGCAGAGGCCCTGCCCTCTGGGGACAGGAGCCGCTGGCCCCCTGTGCCCTGCCCGTTCCCCTCCTGGGGCTCCTTGTGATTAAGGACGCTGGTGGAGGGCAGCTGGATAGACTGCCCCCCAGCAATCACAGGGCCTCAGCAGCCGAGATTCAGCTCTTGGCTCTCTGGGGTTCCCACCCGGCTGGGAACAGTCCGCAAGCCCAGGTGACCCACATATAGTGGTCAGGGGTCAGCAGAGGGCCCTTCACTCTGACTCGCATGCTTGCCTGTTCAATCGCTCTCAACTCACTGATTCACTCTCTCCCTCAGTCATTCCCTCACTCATTCATTCTTCATTCCCTCCCTCATTCATTCTTTCATTCACTCCCTCACTCAGGCATTCATTCATTCATTCCCTCACTCATTCACTTACCATTCACTCACTCACTCATTCCCTCACTCACTCATTCACTCCCTCATTCCCTCCCTCACTCACTCAGTCACTCACTCACTCATTCCCTCCCTCACTCACTCAGTCACTCACTCACTCATTCACTTACTCACTAGCTCGCTCGCTCACTCACTCATTCGCTCACTCACTTATTCACTTATTTCCTCACTCACTCACTAGCTCGCTCGCTCACTCACTTATCCACTTTCCAAATACGTATTCCTGAGCAGGACGCACCAGCCACACTGCAGGAGCCAATGAAAGTAACTTTGCAGATGAATGAGCTTTGATTTTTCCACAGAGGCTGCAAGACTAAGCTGTTGTCTATGGATATGAAAATGGCTTCATGCACAGCTGGCCAAGGAGGAAGCAGCGTGGAAAAATCCCTCAAAAAGGCAGCGTCCTTTTTGTGTGTGGAGTGTCCCTGGGACTTGGACACTCTGAGGGCGACGAGGCGTCTGGAAGCTCAGGGACAGCCACCCACAGCGGGGCACCAAGCAGGGACGGGGTGGGACGGGGGGGCCTCCTCGAGCTCGCCCTGCTCTGAGCAGCCGGTGCTGGCCTCCTGCCCATGTTCCCACGGGGCTGCTGTCCGTGGGGCCACCGCCCGCTGCGGGTGACGCGCCAAAGGGGACTGACCCTACTCTCTGGCATTGGCTCTGCCTTCCTCTTCCCAGACCCTCGTGAGCAGGAACTGACTGGGCTCCTTCCATCTCTGCGCCTGTTTCCTGGCGTCTGCTCTACTGAGACATGGATTCCGAGAGCTGCTCCCACGTGCTCAGCTGTGCCTGTGAGCTCCACGCACAGCTCCTCTACCCGCAGGGGGACCCGCTGCCTCGCGGCCACCCCCCCGCCCGGACACGAGGGGCCTCCTCCCAATGGACAGTCTCCATCGCCCGCCGGCAGCCCACACCCGCCCGGTGTACATAAGAGACTGATTCATAGCAGGAAAAGCAACAAGAAACCCTGCTTCCCGGAGGGTCAAAGGAGCCGTGGGGCCAAGTACCTGGCCGGCTGTAGTGCTGGGGCGACCGTGAGGTCGGGGTGTAGCGCCCAAGGCTGACCGACCCGGCGGAGCTGGGGCTGGAGGTGCGGCACTGCCTGGAGGAGCGGTCGTCCTGGTCTCCCTGGGAGGAAAAACGCCTGGTGAGCACGGAGCCGAGCACGGCCCACCCCCCTCCGCCCAGTGTCTGCTTCCCTGACCTCAGAGCCCAGGCAACCGCCCCGAAGTTCCCTGCACCTGTGGGCCAGGGGAGGCGGCAGGGGGCTGGCCTTGGTGCTGAACTCCTGCCGGCTGAGCATGGTGCCCGTGCCCCCAGGTGCCAGAGGGTAGGGGCCGCCCCCTCCACCAGCCCCACTGCGGCTGAGGCTCCCACGATGGAGCTGCAGGCACCCAGTCCTCCCACACCCGTCAGCTCCCCTCCTGCAGGCCTTCCCAGCACCCAAGGCTCCTTGGAACACAGTTTGAGAACCACTGAGATTCTGTGCTCTCCCTGGCCTCGATAGGGTCCAGGCGTGGGGCCCATTGAGCCAGACCCACAAGCACGGACAAGGCGGACTCCGTTCAAGCAGGATGAGCAGCTGCTCGGAGCGTCAGAGCGGGCGGCAGGCGGCGTGAGATGGCGTGGCACGCGGGACAGGGAAGAGCAGGCTGCGGGCCCACCGTGGCTCAGCACGTGGCCCTGAGCCCTGACACCCCAGCCCAGTGTCCGGCCGCTGGTGGATGCGGCTGCTCTGGCCCCCGAGGCCAGTGTGGGGACGGCAAGGAGAGAGGCAGGGCCTGGCGCTCAGGGCTCCCACCCTCCCAGCCTACCACCACCTCCTGGGGCTCCCACCCTCTCCGAGCCTACCACCACCTCCTGGGGCTCCCACTCTCTCTGAGCCTACCACCACCTCCTGGGGCTCCCACCCTCCCAGCCTACCACCACTTCCTGGGGCTCACTCTCCAGCCAAACTGCGAGTCACCATCCCTGAAGCTTGCCCTGCGCCTCCCCCCAACACCCCCCAGCTCAGCCAGGCCTCGTGCAGGTGCTGCACCCCGAGCCCTTCAGCCTGGCCCAGCCCTGGAGTCGGCACAGGCTGGGCAGCCACAGTCCCGCGGTCCCTCTCCGTCTCGGGCGTCCTCTGCTGGCCCCGGGGGCCGGTCACACCCTCGGGTGTCCTGTCTCCTCCCCTCGCCTGCCCGTGGGGCTCAGGGTCCCAGGGTCTGATGCCCACGCAGCCTGGAGCCTGGCTGGCTGCTCTCTCTCTGCTCTCATTAACCCCGAGAAACAGGAGAAGCAGGCTGCCCGTGACCGATGCTGCCGGACAGAGAAATGCCTCCAGAATGTTCATCTGCGAGGACTTCCCGGACGTCCCCCCGCGGAGGCGCAGGAGCTGGGCCCGCGCCCGGTGCCCGGAGTGTCTCCAAGGAGCCCTGACCCAGACCTCGGGCCGGGCCCCACGTCCGCACTTGCAGGGCTGCAGGGGCGCCAGGGAGGCATGCAGGGGCCACGCAATCATAAAAATAACCAACGCCGAGGGGGCACCGAGCCAGGAGCGCGTGGCCCAGGCGCCACGGCCAGGCCCCCAGCCCTCCGGGCGGCAGGTGGTTATGTTTATAACCCGGGAGCACGCGAGCACGCGTGGGGGTGCGGTTACCTCGGTCAGCGTTGGCGAGAGCAACTGGGGCGACTGTGGACATAACACAGAGCAGCCTGTTAGCCCGCGGCCCCGGCGGCTGCTCGTGGGGAGACACGCGGGCACAGACGCTCACGTGACGAGGACGGGAACCCACCCCGGGGCTCCCAGACCTTCTTTTTGGAGAAACGCGGTCAAGGGATGGCACCCCCAGAAAGAGATCGGGACAGTGGAGCTGGTCTCCGTCCCGGTCCCCCCAGCGCTCCCTGCTCTCCAAGAAGTTTTTCCAACAGGAAGACTTGGTTCAGGGCGTGGGGAGGCGACGCCCTGGGAGACTGAGGAAGAGAGTCTTCTGGGGCTCGGGGCTCAGGGCTCAGGGAGGCCAGCACTGCTGGTGGGGGCCTTGGGAGCAGGGACCAGCCTCCCAGCCAGGGACCCCCCCATTAGAGTAGGTGGGCACCGTCCGCCCCACGGACATTGGCTCCAGGGGGTGGTGGCCAAGTGGCTTGGCCTCCCGACCCTCTCCCAGCGCCTCCAGCAGCGCCCGACCGGACAGGAACGAGGAGGCCCCTGCCAGGCTTGGCTCAGGCAGCGGGAGGTGGGAGCAGGTCAGACCCTCCCCTCCGCCCTGCCCCGCCCACCGGCCTCTTCCTGGGACTTATCACTCAGACCCGTGGGGTCCTGCCTGTCCCCAGGGACAGAGCCAGTGAGGAGGGGCCCCTCTGGCCTCACCCTCCCGCCCTGTCCTGAGCTGCCAGCCGTGCCCAGACACAGTGACTGCAGACGTCAGCGGGGCTGGCGCCAACCACCACCTCCAGCTAGGCGGCCCGGGCCCCAGCCTCCCTTCCCAGGCGACCCTGCTGGAGACTCAGACAGGAGGGCCGGGCACGTGGAGGGAAGGGGCTCTGCCGCCCGGCCTCCCTCTCGGAATGGCACACGCACCCGGGCTGCCAGCTGGCAGACACTCCTGCTGGTCACAGGCAACAAGGTCACACGGGAACCTCAAAACCACCCCGGAAAACTGGGCACCAACGGTGACTCCGCAGTAAACGGAGGGCGGCTGCGCCTGAGAGTCAGTCATGGACGCTGCCCACGGGACCCACGGAGTAAGTCATCCGGTGCAGCCACACCAGGGAGCGCGGGGACAGGGGACGGGCCCGCTGGTGACGGGGAGCAGGCTGAAGGTACTGGATAAAGGAAAACTACATTTCGCACATCGTGAAAATGGTCCCGAACCGCGAGAAACAGGTGCTACTCCGTTCCCATCATCTCCTGAACACCGGCCCCTGCCTGCTCCCGGCCACACAGGGCTTCCCAGGCTCGGCCCCAGGGAGCTGCGTGCGTCTGCCAGGGGCGTCTGGGCAGAGCGCAGCGGGGCTCTTTAGAGAGGACGCCCAGGGCGCGTCGCCGAGCAGCGAGGACGGAGCCAGGGGCCTGCGCCGTGGCCGCCACCCACCCGCGGGCTGCCACCGCGGCCGTACCTCGAGGCAGCTCTGCCGGTCCCCCGAGTGGCTGACGTAGGGCGAGTAGGAGATCATGTCGGGGCGGTCGATGTTGTAGATGGCCTTGCTCTTGGGGAGGGCGGCCAGGTCTCTGTAGTCCAGGATCTCGTCGCCCAGCCTCGCCTGCAGGAGGGAAAGGGTGGCGGCACCGTCAGACCCGAGTGAGGCAGGTGTGGAGGCGCCGAGCCTGTGCCCAGCCCCGTGAGGGTGAAGCGCCTAACGGGCCAGGAGGCCTCATGATCACGTGGGCCTGGTCCCGACGCCAGGCCACGAGGGGCCGCCGTGGCCTGAGGGAGCGCCTTCTCGGGCCTGTGCCTCTCCACGAAGCGGCAGAGGTGGCCCCAGTGGATGGGTGTCGGCCTGACATGGGCGGACAGTGATGCTCAGTCCGTGATCTAAAAATTCATACAGACACCTCTGTGTGCACACAGACAATGCACTGACACATGCAAACACACAGGCATGCATATACGTGTAAACACATTCATGCACAGACACACGTGCATGTGTCAGAACACATATGCACACATATACACACATGCAGACACAGCCATGTGTGTGGACAAGCAAGTATTATAAATATAAATGCACCCACACATGTACACTTACAAACACGTACACACACTAATACATACACTAATGCACGCACGTACATGTACACTCATACACACATATACACATACACACACCCTCTTGAACGAAAATGGGATTCATAATATGTGATCCTCAGCGTGCTTCCCTAGGAACACGTTAGGAGCACGTTTCAGGGTGACACGCACGGATCTGCAGGGCATTCACACCTGCCTGACCCCATGGGTGCCCGGGCACTTCATTCAGGAAGCCCTGGCGCAGGGCGTGGGGCGATGTCACTTTTACACCGTCATCCACAGCAGTTGTGAGCACCTCCTCGCGCCCTTGTCCCCACAGGCCCAGGGAGTGGCGGGGTCACTCCGCCCGCGGAGAGGAGGCTCTTGTCAGCTTCCCAAGGTCTACACCAGTCCCCACGCAGGGATGGCAGCGCCGACGCCCGGCTCAGTGACGCCCCCAGGCCCCCCTCCCCATAGAAAGAGCCCAACTTACATAGATGACGCGGCTGGGGGACCCCGAGGTGGTGGACGCAGGCACAGAGATGATGCTCTCGGAGGACGTCCTGGTCTCCTGGGGAAGGGGGGGTGGGGTGGGATGGAGACAGAAAACAGGACGTGTCAGTGAAGACCGTCCAGAGGCAGCCGTCAGTCACGCGGCCCAGAGGGCCGGCTCACGGCGGTCCTTTTCCTTGTCAGGGTGAAGCATTCTCACAGCGACAGGCAGCTCGCACGGACAACTGGAGACATCAGACAGACCGCAGTGACACGGCTACACGCCAGCGGGTTTGTAGCGCCGACGAGTGCCGAGCTTTCATGGCGCAGAGAGGACCAATTCCAGGGGGACAGGAGCAGGCAGGGGCTCCGAGCGCCAGGGGCAAGGCCGCCTCCGACCCAGAGCCGTGCGCTCGGGGACGTTTTCCGCCCAGATCACGGGGACGCGGGGCAGCGCAGGCCAGCAGCGGCTCTGCTGTCAGACTTAGGGACGGTCCCTGAACCTAAAGACCAGTCTGAGCCCCACACCACAGTCCACCCTCAGGCCCCCGACTCCGCCCCACGCCTCTCAGCACCGGCAGCCCCTGGAGGAACCGCATTTGGTCCCGCACCCCAGCGAGGTCTCAGCAACAGCCCCCGGAGGTCACTGCTGGCCGCTCTCACGCTGAGCCCTCGTCCTGGCCCGGGGCCTCCGTCACGCGTGGAACCTGCCCCCGAGTGCCCTCTGCGGTGTGAGCCCCGTCCTGCCCCTCGCCTCCCCGAGCACATCTCCTGCTTCCCCCGAGGTGACGGCCCCCGGACTGCGGTCTCCTCTGCTCCCACGGCAGGCCTGCCCTGTGTCTGCGTGGACACTCGCCTCCGGCTCCACCCGATGACCGCACCTGTGTCCATCCGCCTGCAGGGTGTGGCTTGCCGCTCCCCTCACCTGGCCCAGCGTGGCCCTGCCTGGCCCGGCCCCACTAGCTCTTCCTCTCGCCGTCTAAACGGAACCCTCTCCGCGCAGGGCCTCCCAGCCAATAGCACGGACCCCTCTCCCCACACCCCTACCCCCTCCTCTCTCCTTTCCTAAGCAGACCCCTGTCCCCCCGATTCTGGCCGGCCCCCCTCAGCACCCACACCCGCTGCAGTGCCAGCAGCCTGGACGGGGCCTCGTTACGGCAGAGTGGTGTCCCCGACTCGCATGCGGAAGGCCTCACCCCAGTGCCCAGAGCAGGGCTGTGTTTAGAGACAGGCCCTTTAAAGCCCGAATTAAGCTACGTGGGGCCTTGACCTAATGTGACGAGTCCTTACAAGGAGAGAGTACGCCCTAGCTCAACATGTCAAACTTGTGGCCCGCGGGCCGCGTGTGGCCCACAACAAACGCTCATTAACGGTGACTCCTTCATCTCAACCCTTCGTCTTCAGCACGTCTCTATTGAAATAAACCTACGTTTCTATGAAAATTGAAGCTTCTGTTTTTTTGTGGCCACATACACGTAAACCTTGTTTATTTGGCCCGTGTTCACCTTTGAGTTTGACATGCTTGCCCTAGCTGCATAAAGCGTCGGCCTGCAGAAGGAAGGGTCCCAGATTCGGTTCCGGTCAAGGGCACGTGCCCGGGTTGCGGGCTCGATCCCCAGTAGGGGGCATGCAGGAGGCAGCTGGTCCACGATTCTCTCTCATCATTGATGTTTCTCTCTCTCTCCCTCCCCCTTCCTCTCTGAAGTCAATACAAATATATTAAAAAGGAAGAGCTTAGGACACAGACACACACAGAGGGACGACCCTGTGAGGACACGGGGAGGAGACGGCCGTTCCACACGCCAAGGAGAGGCCTCGGGAGGAGCCGCCCTGCCGCGCCGTGGTCTGGGCCTCCAGCCTCCAGGGCGGGGGAAAGGGGTGTCTGTTTAAGGCCCCTGGAGCGGTCAGTCCAGGACACTAACTAACACAGACCGTGGGGCCGCCCTCCCCGGCGGAGCACGCCCAGCTCCCCTACACGCAGCACGACAGCAGCGAGGACGGGACAACACCAGGGCCAGCCGTCAGGCACAAACCTGGAAGGCACAGGGGGTGGTGCCCCGGCAAACCTGCTTCTGCATCTGGAAGGGAGAGAGGGGAGAGGGCGTGATGCTTGCGGCTCACCTCTGCATGGCCCACTCGTCAGCCTGGCCCACCCCTTCCATGCCCCTGGCATCCTCCGGGACCAAGCTCGGGGCCGCCTCCTCCAGGAGGCCTGCCCTGCTTTCCCCGGCCCCTGGACTGGGCTCTGCTTGCTGAATGGGGCGGAGTCTCGGGACTGCCTGTCCCCTCAGACCACAGGCTTCCGAAGGCCGGCGGGGGCAGGGGTCTCCCCCAAGCTCAGCCCGAACCCACAGTGCAGTCCCAGGTCCCCAGCTCCCCCCACACCAGATATGATGGCCACTCGGAGGCAGGTAACTCGGGGTCTGCCTTCTCGCCATCCCTGTGGCCAGGTGGCCTGTTTTACTGGCCACCGTGATGTCCGCACACATGTCACACGTCTGAAACCCTCTGCACCTCGGTTCCTCCTCTAGGAGCCCGAAGACGCTCCCTGGGGCTCCGTGTCTGGGGAGACACGGCGTGGGGAGCTGGGCTCCGAGGTCCCCTCACTTTCACCTCAGGTCCAGCTGGGCCAGGACAGGAAGCCCCGGACCAGCCCGGGTGCAGCGGCGGTGGCCCTGTGCCCCTCACCCCGGGGAGCGTCCCGCAGGGGAGGGGCCCACAGGTCCCTGGGCGCTGCCCTGGCCCGTGCGCTGGCGCTGGGTCGGCAGCAGCCCGGGGTCTGTTTGCACCCGCAGTCGGAAGGGGCTGCAGCTCCCCCACCCCCCAATCCTACGCTCAGCCTCCTCCAGGGTCACAGGGCGCCTGGTGCACATGAGTCTCACCCACAGCGTGCGGGGTCTGACACCCACCCGTCTCCAGGTTAAAGCTGAGGCCTGAGGCTCAGAGAGGGCCAGTGATTCGCCCGAGGTCACACAGCCGGGCAGAGGCACAGCTGGACTCCAAGGGCAGGAAAGGAGCCTCCTCCCAGGGCCCCAGGGCCCGGCGCAGAGGGGCCGTTGGTGAAAGACTGCTGAGCACACCCAAGACGGGCAGGTAGCTCTCTTACGGCCACCAGGTCACTGGCGCCACCCTGACCGGGGCCGGTTTCAGGAGTTCACGAGGCCATGACCGCTGCCTTGTCTTCAGGGGCCGCCGCCCTCCGGCCCACCCCACACCCTGAGCTGGAGCGGCTGGCGGGGCTGGCTGGGCCATGGTCATTAACTGGCTCTCTCTTCCTGCCTCCCAGGCCAGAGCGGCCAGCTGGCTGGAGAACTGTCCCGGGCACCCGTCCCCGGGGAGAATCAGCTGACCCACCCTGTCCGCCTGGCCGCCCAGGCCCCGGACACTACCCTCATTTCCTGGGCGAGACAGAGAGGCTCTGAGGGCTGGGGAAGGGGAACGAGGGACAAGCAGGGCATGACTGGGGCCTGAATCCCGTCCCGGGACACCGAGGGGCAGGCACCAGCGCCAGGGCACAGCGCCCAGGGGCAGCCGCTCTCTGGCTGCAGCCTCCCCCCCCCCCCGCCCCCAAATGTTCCCAAAGCGCCTTGGGAACAGCCCAGGAAGCCACGGATGTGCAGCCCCGGGCGTGACCCCTCCCTCCCTGTCCCTCTGGACTGCAGAGCCTCCCTCCGCCGGGCCGCGGCCCCAGTCAGCATGGGTGGCCTCCGGTGAGGAGCAGAGGCCGGCGCTGGGCTCCCTCAGGCCAGGGGCCAGCGCAGCAGCCACGTCCAGAACCTAGAGCTGCTGTGGCCGCCCTGGGTGTCCCTGCGTGGCCTCTGTGGCCTCCGTCCCCTTCCCACCCCTGGTCGGTCTCCCCGTGCTCACGCCGTGCACGCGTGGGGTCTGGAGGCCTCTCCGCGTGGGGTCCCTTTGGCAGGCCTGGGCTTGGCCTCCGGGATGGAGGTGTCCACAGACAAAGGTCAGGCCCTGGAGGTCACTGCAGGGTCATGGACTGTGGCGCTGGGAGGTGGGCGTGCTGCCGGGCTCATCGCTGAGGCCGGCGGCTCAGGCGCAGGGTGTGGGGTAATCAGCCATGTGAGAGGGTGACGGACAGCCGCCGTGTGCGGCCACAGATGGCGGCCTGGCCGTGCACGTGACACAGTGACCGTCAGTCCTGTTGCCGAGGGAGGCCAGGCAGCGTCCCCAAAGGCTCAGGGCCTCACTCCCAACCCTGCGGCTGCTGCCTCGTGTGGCCACAGGGACTCTGCAGGCGGACTGAGGGGCCTGGGGGTGGGGAGCTGTCCTGGATTCTCAGGGCCCAGGGTGACCTCAGGGCTGCTATGAGGCGAGGGGGTGTCGGGCAGCGGTGTGGCCCCTCTAGACACGGGAAGGACAGGAATGGTTCTCCCCGGAGCCCGGTTACACTCTGACCCGGCACCGCGGGCCAGGCACCTGTGGCTTCCCGGTCTCGCATGTGCGGGGTTTGTCACAGGAAACCGACACGTCACACGTCCTCCCACGGCCTCTGCGTCCTGGAGCTGAGGGACAGCTGTCCCTTCCTTCCTCCCAAGAGTCCCGCACTGGGCTTGGGCCTGGCAGTGGAGTCAGGGCTCCGGGCAGTGGGGTCAGGCCCCGGGCAGTGGAGTCAGGCCCCGGGCAGTGGGGTCAGGGCCCTAGGCGGTGGGATCAGGGCCTGGCCCCGGGGAGGTGGCAGCGAGCAGGAGGAAGAAGGTGGCGGGGAGTGGGGGCTGCTCTTGTGCCAAACCCCAGGGCCTGCCATTCTAGTGACCATTCTGGGAATTGAGCCAAAATGGCGGTGACCACTTGGGGACTCGCTAACTTCAAAGTTGTCCCCAAATCTTTGCGGCCATCGGCATCCCCTGAGCAAATGAGGAGGTCAGAGGGCAGGGAAGGGAGCCCTGGGAGCTACCTTGCATCAACCCCAGAACCCCGTGTGTACATCTGACACCCCCCCACGTCCTGTCCACGCCCCTCAGCCCGTGGACGCTGCCGGCAGCCCCTCCACTGCATGACAGTCCCACCCGAGCGCGGAGATGCAGCGGGAGAACTCGGGAATCGCACCAACCTTGCTCTTGTCCTCAGTCCTGGCTGCTTGTCGACAGGCCGGGTGCCAGATGGAGGAGCCTGTGGACAGAGTCCGGGGTTAGTGCCACTCCCCGAGGCAGGGCCGTGGGGGGCCGGGGCGGGGCTCACACACGGAGGGATGTCCACTCGGCCACCCCCTCCGAGCGGCCCCTGGGCGCGCTCTGTGCTGGGCCTGACAGCAGGTGGCAGCCCTGCCCCCGGGGACGCACAGCCCAGGCCGGGGACATGACGCGGCAGACACACCTCGAGCCCCCGGCTCCCACAGGCTCATCTCTAGGCCACGGGCCGGGGGCACGAGCCGCCACGTCTCCCAGGTCCTCGGGGGCTCCCCGCCGTGGCGTCTGTAAGGCCTTGAGGCCTGTGGGCCATTCCCCACTTCGCCCCACCAGCCAGGCCAGGGGCCCGCTTCCTCGAATGCTCAGGACCCGGGGACGGGGGGCACGCCCTTCCTTTTCGTCTTGGTCAACCCAGTGGGCACACAGGAACATCGACTCGGTATTTTACCCCGATGACCATGAGCGTCACACCCCGGCCGGTGTTTCCTGGGAGGAGTCTGTGCTGGGAAGCCGCCCAGAGGAAGGGGTGGTCGGGGGGACCCTGCTCCTCAGAGCTTCGCTGCATGAGTCACCTGTCAGTTACACCTGCGTGGAGCCCCGCGCCGGGCAGACCAGGCAGAGGGTCCGGGGGTCCAGGCAGGGTGGGTGGGGCCCTGGGGTCCGTGGCTTGGAGCTCGAAAACCTCATCTAACTCATGGGAGATGGGAGACCCGAGGCGGGAGCAGGCGGGCCTGGGGAAGTCACCGCAGGAATCAGTTCACACGTGGGCGCCGGCCTCAGACAGGGCCGGGAAGAGTCTCTTTGTTCCTGACCCAGCCCCCATGTGCGAGCTCGTGTCCCCACACTGCCGTCCTGACCACAGGGCTTGGCGGCAGGAGGGACTGGAAGCACTGATCACGGTGGGGGTGGGCACCTCGGGGGGGGGGCACCCCTCCTGCCAGACGGCCCAGCCTGCTGTAGGGGCGCAAAGGACCTCTTTCACGGGCTCTGCAGCGGGGACTCGAGGAACAAGAGGGGATGTCGGGGATGTGGCCATCCTGGCTGACATCACCCCGAGAATCTCGGCCTCAGCAAGGGAGGCCTGTGTGGCACCCTGGCCCAGCTGTCACCACATGATGCCATTACACAGCCCGTCTGCGGGGCAGTGTGCGGCCCTGCCCCTGCCCGGCGGCCCCAACGCTGGGGACAGAGAGATCATTGAAAAGAACATTCGGCTAAAGAGACGGGTCTCACCCGGCCTTGGTGGCTCAGGGGTTGAGCACTGACCCACGAACCAGGAGGTCACAGTTCAATTCCCGGTCAGGGCACAGGCCCAGGTTGCGGGCTCGATCCCCAGTGGGGGGCGTGCAGGAGGCAGCCGATCCATGATTCTCTCTCATCACCGATGCTTCTATCTCTCTCCCCCTCTCCCTTCCTCTCTGACATCTCTCCCTTCCTCTCTGACATCAATAAAAACATATTTTAAAGAGATGGGTCTCGATACTGACCATCCTCCCCGAGGCCTCTTGGGAGCACCCCCGCCCCAGGCAGACCAGGGCCCCTGGGCTCTGCCTCCCAGCACTGCCCGCTGTCCCAGCACCGCCTGCTGTCCTGCAAGTCCGCTCAGGAAAGCCTGCTTGGGCCCTGCCCCTGCTCCCGCTGCATCGTGGGGCCCCCTAACTAGCGGAGAACACACGTGACCCCCAGTCCACACGCAGCTCGTGGGAGGGGCCTGGGAGATGGTCCCCTGCCCCGGGGCGGGCGGCGTGCTCACGCTTACCTTGGAGGTACATCTCCTCGCCCTCGGCGAACATCCGGCCACACCGGACACAGAGAGCGCACAGCGGGTGGTAGTGCTTCTCCCCCGCCTGTGGGGACAGAGCAAGGGGTCCTGCGGGGGTGCAGCCGGTGCCTGGGGACTGGAGCAGGCATGCTGCCGGGCAGGGAGTCCACAGAGCCCGATCGGGGAGTGCCGGGCGCTGTGTGTGCCAGCTGGCTCTGCCCTCCCCGCTGGGAACCACGTCTGGCGCAGAG